CTAAGTTTCTGGTCATGAGGAGAGAAGGAAGGATGGAGGCAGGGAATCATGGGTCAAGCGATGCAGGCATTCCCTCAAAGATGGAAAGCCAAAACAACCCTCCAGAAGGACACAGCCCTGCAGTGAGGCCCGAATGGCACCTGCAACGGTCAGATGCCAAATGTGCACCGTGTCAGCCGGTAAACCTGTGGTCAATGTGTCACTGAAGCAATACAGGCTAGTACTGCGCATACATTATGACTTCTTAACTATCAACACCAGAATAAACTTGCTGCTACATTATGGGAAACAACCATTGCCTGGGAATTGTTGCTGCTACCTAGCAGCGCCCTCAGAACAAATACAGTAGCTTTCCTGCACCTGGCTGACTACTGCGAACCCTGCCAAGGCGAGCCATAAACTACACCCATTATCTCCAGGATAGGAAGGAAGTAAATTTGTAGCACGCACTGCCCACCAAGTCTTGCTCCCAAGAATAGCCGGTGGTGCCAGAGGAAGAGAATGCCCTAAACTCCCCAATCCTCGCAAGAACACCCGCTGAGTGCCAACAGGGGGTGGCAGACCGTGGGTCACACCCTGCTGTGTCTGGTTATTGCTTCTTCTCCCTAACATCGCACAGATATTCACGGACCATGACCCTCAGAGGTTGTTCTTTCTCTGCAAGTCAGTCATTGATGACTCGGTAAGTGCGTGCTCAACTCCAGCAGGTCCCAGTCACCAGGCACCAGAGCTGGAGATTTCGACAGGAGTTTCCATTTGGGGTGCCTACAAAAGGCCTTGGGAACTTCCCACGCTTACTTTTCTCCCCTCTGCCCCTTGCAGCTCCCTGAACCGCTCTTTGGTTCCCAGAACTGCTTGGCTCAGAGTCAGAGGATGTCAATCTCTCCATCCTCTCCGCCAGCATTTCCTTCTGCTTGCTTCTCAACGTGCTGACTGAGCAAATCGCGAAGCTTCAAGGGGCTCCGAGCTCCAGTCTAAAGCACAGCACTCCCCTGACAACCGCCTGAGCTTAGTTCCCTAACTCTACTCTCTCCCTAAGAGTTCACGGACTCCAAATTTAAATAACCGCCTCCAGAGGTCATTAGCTCAGCCAAAACGACACCTCCAGCTCCCTAGCTGGTCTCTCTCAGCCGGGTCTCTTCCCAGTCTAACACAGCCTTGGTGCACCTTGCCAAGCACTTCTCAGGCACTTGCCGGGCACAGACTGAGATGCCAAAGACATGGCTGCTGCAACGCACACAAGGAAGGGCATGTCCTCTGGAGAGAGGCGGTCCAGCTGAGCCACAGACAGCTCTGCCACTTGGAAGACACTACTAACCCCTGTACGTCTCGGTTTCCTCAAGATGCATTTGCAACATCTACAAGTGGGATGCTGCACAGCAAACAGCACAGCACAAGCAGCAGGAGGTAACACGTCAGCTCACCAGCAACAACACAAGCGACCCGGAGACAGACGTGGACAGCCCGCAAGACAGGAGTGGGAGAAATGACTGGACCCGGGAGATGCTGTGAGCTGCCGAGACGGAGTGATGAATGTCGACAGAACTCCATGCCGTCTCAGCGCACTCAGGGTGGAGAGGATGGGTGGGGACTGTCCAGCGGCCACACCTGAGCAAGGGCAGAGCAGCTGTGAAGGCAGCGCCTTGTGCCACCAAGCATGAGTGACGGCTGCTCCGGGCACCTTGGCTCTGGATGTGGCTTCCAGCAGCCCACACTGCGACAGACAAGATTTTGAGCTTGGTCCCTAACCCTCATGGAACTTCTATGTCAGAAGGTAAGAAAATTAAAACAAGAAGGTTTTAGCTATTTTGATATTCAGAAGAGAAAACAGGACCATATGAAGGAATGGATGGGGGAGGAGGTCAAATGTACAGAGAGGAGGAGAGACAGAGAGAAAGATATTCCATGATTCACAACTCAAGCAGCTGCAATGGCTGAAGCTGAGCCAATCCAAAGCCAGGAGCCAGGAGCTCTCCTGGGTCTCCCACGTGAGTGCAGGGTTCCAAGGCTTTGGGCCGTCTTTGACTGCTTTCCCAGGCCACAAGCAGGGAACCGGGTGGGAAGTGGAGGTGCCGGGATTAGAATCAGCACCCACATGGAATTCCGGCGCATTCAGGGTGAGGACTTTAGCTGCTAGGCCATTGCACTGGGCCCGCTTGAATTTTATTTTAAAACATGCAGGGAAGACGGGCTAGGACATTAATCTGATGCGCATGTTTGTTGGCTGTTTGTTTTTTCAAGATTTTCATTTTAATTGAAAAGCAGAGAGACCCAGTTTACTTCCCAAACAGTGGTGACAGCCAGAGCCAAGGTAGGCCACAGCCAGTAGCCGGGAGTTCCATCCAGATATCTCACAGGGGCAGCAGGAACTCGAGCGTGTGAGCCAGCATCCACGGCTCCCCAGGTGCGTTAGCAGGAAGCGGATTCGGAAGCAGAGCAGTTGTGACTAGGCCCAGCACCTTGACAGGGTTTCCCAAGTGGTGACTTATCTGCTGCACCAAAGTCCCACCCTGTCCTCCCCGCCCCCTCACACACACACACTTCATTCACAGGGAACAGGATCAAAAGTGAAGCCACTGGGTCCAGTGGGGTCATAACAGCAGCTTATTACCTATTGCTAACCCGTGGAAGCCTGCAGGTCTTACTGTTCTCAGGAACATAGCCTGCATACTTTCTACATGTGAAGCACATTGTTCCAGCCTGTTCTCTCTGAACAGAGGCAGGGAGGAAAGGAGAGAGAGATCTTGCTGGTTCACTCTCCAAATGACCACAATGGCTGCCTGAGTCTGGGCCACAGCCAGAGCCAGGAACTCGGCGTCTCCCACCTGGCTGGCAGAGGCCCAAGCACTCGGGTCATCTTCCACTGCTTTTCCATGTGCATTGGCAAGGAAATGGATTGGAAGTGGAGCAGGTGAGACTTGAACCGGCACCCATATGGGATGCTGGCGTTGTACGCAGCAGCTTCACCTACTGGCCCACAATGCCAGCCCCAAGGAAAGCTTCGAAAGGGCAAATCTGCTGGTGATCTCATCCATGCTGTCTTGCACCCTCCATCTCCTGCCCTGTTTCTCTCTCCTGCTTAACCCCCTCCAATAGCATCCCTGATGTTCCCTGGAACAACCAGAATCCTCGGTGTGGGCTCCCTGGCATGGCCGGCCTTCAGGTCCTGCAGCCAGACATGCCCTCTCCTGCCGCAGCACTTCTGACTTTGCCGTTTCCACAGCCCTTTCACCTCCCTTCTCCCTCTGTGGGCATTTAGTCATCCTTCAGATCTCTGCCAAGAAGTTCTTCCTTAGCAAAACCTTCTCTGATCCGACAGTAAAGCTGCAACCAGTGTTTATACACACACAGAACTGGTTCTCTTTCTTTCAAAGCACGTCTCCATTTATGACTGGGTGATTATATAATTTTCAAAACTGGTTCTTCTTTCTCTTTTCCCACTAGACGGGAAGCTTCAGGAAGGCAAGAACGCTACCAACTGCTGCCTAGCACCGAATCCCAGGGGAGGAACACACAGCAGGCCTTGACAGGATTAGATCCAGAAAGACTGTCTAAGATCTGAGATGCCAGGGTGGCCGTGCGCTGTGCTGCTTGCTGTCGAGTCCTGTGTCAGAGTGCCTGGGTCCAGATCTGGACTTTCAGAATCCTGCACCCTGGGAGGCAGCAGGTGCTGGTCACCGACACAGGTGCCTGCCACCCACTTAGGAGGTCCAGATGGAGTTTTCGCACCTCCTGGCTTTGGATTGACCTGGCCCGGCCCAGCCCAGGGTGTTGTCAGCATTTTGGGGAATGGGCCCACCAAGGGAGCTCTCTAGCTCTCCTTCTCTCTGCCTTTCAAGCTAAGGCAAATAATAAAAGCTTGACTATCATTTCCTTTTCAACTGAGCAAAGAAAAGGTGTCCTAACAGCACGGTAACAAATCATGAACGAGAAGAAAAGGAGAGAAACTGGCGTCCGATGCCCACTTTGTTACAAACTCTGCAAGTCTTCCCTGCCACCTCCTGGAAACCATGGGTGACGTCAACTTGGTATTTGTTTCAAAAACCTGTCATCCTCCCTGAGCGGGTCCATCATCCCTTTCCTAGCCTCTACCTCAACCTCGACTCCCCTCACCCTTCCCGCAAGCCCCTCTTCCCAGGTCAGCAATCCCACCATCTCCTCAGCACAGGGAAGGGGGCACAGAGTGAGAGAATTTGACCCCCATCACCAGCACACAAGAATGGTGCTTTTGCAGAGAATGACCAGTCACAGACGCAAGCTCTGTGGTCCTGCAAGCATCCCCGTGGGGGAGCAAAACCAACCCTACCTACCATTCCTATTTTAGCAGTCTGGGCCAGCCACCAGCACCAGGCCACCACGTCTGCAGGAGGGCTCACTTCCAATGAGAGAACCTACTGTTTGTGTTGGTCCCTTGCGCTTCCTGACATTAGCCATGCCTTCCCCTCCCCCTTGCATTACCTACCAGATACTGAAATCCGACTCTTACTCCCTAAATAAACACCTGTTCCTGCCCCATCCGCGCTCCCCTCCCCGGCACCTGTCCTGGTCTGCATTCTCTGGGGCAATGCGAGTCCCAGCCTCGGCCGCCTTCCACTTGCTCCTCTGTGGAAGCACCCAAGGGAAAATCAAATCAAAACAAAACAAAGACCAGACTGCCCCCACCGGAGCGAGGTCCCTGTCTACCCTTTCTTTGGCCCCCGCGTGCCGGGTAGGCATGGTGGCCTCTCCTGGCCGGTTAAGAGCCGGGAAGGACGAGGTCACCGCCCGCCGGCCCTCAGGGCAGCTCGGCGGCACCCAGGGATGCGGCACAGACGGAGCAGGCTCCCGGTGCGGCCCAAGGTCACCCTCTCACTGCGCCCCCCCGACGTCGCGGACCGGCCCTCCCGGGTCGCCCTCAGGGAGTGGCCCGGCAAGCCCCGGCTCCCGGGCTGAAGCAACGAGGGGTGGGCCCGACGACCGGGAGGCCGAACCCCGGGGAGGGGCGGGAGGCGGGGCCCTACCTGATAGCTGAGGACGCCGTCCGCCTCGCTGCTGCCGGCCGGCATGGCGGCGCCGAGCTCGCCAGCCGCCCCAGGCCGAGCGGCCCGCGGCGCGCTCGCTTCGGGTGTGAGCGGAGCACCCGGACGGCGACCCCCGCGTCCCGGAGCCCGCGGTCACCCCTCGACCGCCGCCGACTCCATCGCCACGGGCCCGCGAGGCGTCCGCCGCAGCCAGTCAGCGAGCAGCCCGGCCAGCCAATCAGGGCGCAGAGCACCGGAGGACGCCGTCCGGCGGTACCCCGGGTTACCACAGGAGATGGGGGCGGAGCTACCGCCCGGGCCCGGTTGCCGTGGAAACCGCCTCCCTCCCCTCAGGGGCCTCAGGGCTGGAAGGTCCTTGGCCGCCTCTGGCTGGCCCTGGGCAGCTCTGGGTGCTGCTGCTGCTGCTGCTGCTGCTGCTGCTGCTGCTGGCGGCTGCACCTGACGCTTGCAAGCTGCTGAAGGTGTTGGCTGCCTCTTTTCATTGTAATCCTTGCAAAAAGAGCTTTGAACTTCTGGACGAGGGACAGGGAGGCAGCGTCCCTCTTAGGTGGGAAGCCAGAGGGGATGGAGGGAGCCAGAGAGGGCCTTGGTAAAGCCCCAAGCCGGCCACCAGAAGAATGAACATCAAGGAGCTGCCTGCAAGCTGTAGCTTGGCGGCTCCGCCACCTGACTCCTCCGCAGCTAGACTCCAGCTCCGGAGGACCGGTGGAACTAACTGCACCCAAGCACTTCCAACTTTTCCGGAAAAATGGCCGAAAGCCGGTCACGGTTGGTCCACAGAACCGCTGAGCCAGGGCCAGGTTAGAAAATATTGCTTAACCGCATACAACTACAGAAAAGGTGGCGCAAAGACAGCCAGCCAGCCAGCCCCTCTCGGAAAGGGAATCCAGGCAGCTCACTCCTGTAGGGACACATTATCACCTGTGCAAGTTCTGCTTCCCGCATGCTGTTGCTGACCTTGGCCATGAGATGGGTAAATACCAAGGCCGAACGTCAGCGTTTCTGAACAGAACCAGATTTTTAAAGTGTATAGCCACACTCCCCGTCCATCTCATCGCTAATTCCCTCATTCCTAATGTTTACCATCCTTCTAGTCTCTTCCTTGAATCCTTTGTACCTTTCTTAACAGTGGTTACTGGGCTGTAGCCATACAAGTATCTGAAGGCATTGCTTTTTTTTTTTTTCAAGATTCATTTGTTTTTATTGCAAATTCAGATATACAGAGAAGAGGAGAGACAGAGAGGAAGATCTTCCCTCCAATGATTCACTCCCCAAGTGGCCACAATGGCCAAAGCTGCGCTGATCCGAAGCCAGGAACCTCTTCCAGGTCTCCCATGTGGGTGCAGGGTCCCAAGGCTTTGGGCCGTCCTCGACTGCTTTCCCAGGCCACAAGCAGGGAGCTGGATGGGAAGTGGAGCTGCTGGGATTAGAACCAGTGCCCATATGGGATCCTGGCACGTTCAAGGCGAGGACTTTAGCCGCTAGGCCACGGCGCCAGGCCCTGGAGGCACTGGTTTTTAAGGTTAAGTTTCATTCTTTGTAGGAAAGGCAGAAAAAGACAGAGATGTTGTATATGCTGATTTATCCCCCAAAGGGCTGCAATGGACAAAGACTGGACCGGATCCAAGTCAGGATCCCAGAACTCCACCCAGGGACCCAGGTACTTGAGCCATCATCTGCTGCCTCCCAGGCACACAATAGCAGGAAGCAGGATCGGAACAGAGGGGTAGGGCTCAAACAAGGGCCCTGTGATTTGGAGTGTTACGTCACAGAACCCTGAAGAATGCTGAACTCATGGAAAGTGGTTAGCAAATATAAGAGGGGTCTTCAAAGAGGCTGTGAAGTGCATACTAGGAAAAAATATTCAAAGTTTTTATGCAACAATAAACATTTTTAATTGCATTTTCTGCAAGCTTTTTGGAGTCCCTTTGGGTGCTTTCAACACAATCTAATAAAAATGTTTTGATCGTGGTGGCTGGTATGGTGGTGCCGCAGGTTAAACTGCTACCTGTGATGCCAGTACCCCTTACAGGCTCCAGTTTGAGTCTCAGCCGCTCCACTTCTGATCCAGTTCCTTATTAATGTGGCTGGGAAGGCAGCAGAGCATGGCCCAAGCACTTGGGTCCCTGCCACCCATGTGGGAGACCCTAATGAAGTTTCAGGCTTCTAGTTTCCAGCTGGCCACTAAGTCCTGGCCAGTGCAACCATCTGGGGAGTCAACCAGCATATGCAAGATTTCTCTCTTTTTATTTCTCCCTCCACCCACTCCCCCTGCCTCCGTGACCCTGGCTTTCATCTAAATACTTAGATTAAAAATTTTTTGAATATCAACTATGTTCAGGCCCAAAGAACACTTAAGGCATAGACAAATCCTGAAATACAACATAGGGCAGGTAAGATGCCACACGGAACACCTGCATCCCGTATCAGAATGCCTGAGTTCAAGGCCTTGGTCCATTGGTAATTCCAGTTCCCTGCGATGTGCACGGTGGGAGGTAGCAGGTGATGAGCTGGGTATTTGGTCCCTGCCACCCAAATGAGTGATCCAAATGGAGCTCCTAGCTGCTGCCTGGTTTGGAGAGTGAGTCAGTGGATGAAAGATCTCTCTCCCTTTCACATATTTTTTTTTTTAATCCAAAAAACTGAAACACGGAGAAAGTTAAGCCAGTTTCTCAAGGTCAGACAACCAATTAAAGCTGGAATTCAAACATTTGTTACTTCGAAACACATTTCTTTGGGGCTCCATCACCAAGCACCAAGGTGTGCTTGCCTTGAATTGAGCCTTAAAGTGCAGTGTGGAGACAATAAACAAGTGAGTCAATGGCACAGTCCACGTTAGGGTTGTTCCTATTGAGTAACTAGGGAGGTGAGTCCAGCCCCAGTGGACCTGAGTCCTGAGTTCATGGCCACAACGCCTCTCTGTGCTATCAAAATCTACCTTGGGAGCAGGATGGCTGAGGGGTCAAGGATGATGGCCAAAGGGGATATGTGCCCACCCTCTCCATTCCCCCAGTGACCAGACCTGGCCGAGGTCCAGGTGAAATGGGCAAGGTAGGGGCAAGGACGAGGAGGGAGTGTTTGCTTTGGCAGCACATATACTAAAAAGGGACGAGGAGGGAGAGCTTATTCCTGAAGCTCTGATGGGCATGATACTCCTACAGTGTCCCTCGTGGATAGAGTCGGAGCCTCTGGCCCCAGACTCCAGGACCAAGAGCCCCATCTTCTGGCCTGTTGTGCAAATTACAAAAGGAAGGTGGGCCACAGCACGCATCCTCTATGGCCCCTGTCTTCCAAGTCCTGGAGCGGCCTCTCAGATGGTAGGCCCCTACAGTCTGCTGCCCCCTACCCAGGGTGGAAAAGTGAAGAAGTGCAAATGCCTGGCTCTCCACTGGGTCAACAAAGAGGCCTTGAGAAGCCAAGTCTTCAGTCAAGTGCATTGATTTCTTTTTCTAAAGAAGCCAGGACAATCAAATAACCAGACAGAACTCAGAAATGTCTGGGGCCTGGGAGAAGACATAAAATGGGCAAGAAAATGTAAAATAGATGTAAAGAAACAGTGGCCACACATCATTATCGCCATCAGATCAACAAAGAAGCCATTGGGTAAGTCCTAGCATCCCATTCTTACAGAGGAGAAAACTGAAGTTTAAAGCCATACATCCCCCTCCCCCAGCATGGGTAAATGGAGAGGCTGGGCTCTGAGCTCAGATGTGTGTCAGTCCACAGTGCATGAGTCTGATCACCCTGCTGCCTCCACCCCTGCAGCTGCCTGGGGATTCCACCCTCCTCCAACTTTCATAGACCACACCCTTCTGCAGCCAAATGAATCCCCCTGTGCATCTTGCTCTCCACACCTTGGGGAAGGAGACTGGTATTGAACCCCCGGAAGAGATCATGAAATCTCTGCACTGGCTTCTCAACAGCACCCAGAATGTCGCACAGCCAGTCCACCAGTCGCTGAAGGCAGGAATGTGTGCTGAGAAACACGGCCCTCAGGGAGCATGTTTAGAAACTCCAGCAGGCTGGGTGAGAGCATATTACCGGACACCTCCATCACTGACCGGAAGTCCTCATGAAGAGTGATGACTGCTTTAAAAAGTATAAATGTGAGAAATTCAAAACATCTAAGAAAATGTTCCCATGTAATTGCAAACATTTCCATTAAGAGCATCCTAACTCCTCCAACAATGTGCCATGTCCCTGGCTCTGTTTAAACTGTCAAAAGAACCGAGGGCCAGCACGGTGGCTCAACAGACTAATCCTCTGCCTTGCAGTGCCACGATCCCATATGGACACCATTTATAGTCCCAGCTGCTCCACTTCCAATCCAGCTCCAACGGGAAAGTGGCAGAGGAAGGCTTGGGTCCTTGGGACTCTGCATCAGTGTGGGAGACCCGGAAGAGGCTCCTGGCTCCTGGTTTCAGATTGGTTCAGCTCCAGCCATTGCAGCCATTTGGGGAGTGAGCCAGCCTCTATGTCTCCTTCCCTCTATATAAGTCTGCCTTTCAAATAAAAAAATAAATAAACCTTTTAAAAATAAATAAATCTTACAAAAATAAACTGTCTGAAAATAGCCACACAGGAGAGGGGTCCTAATCTTTACCTGCCTTTAACTAGCTCCCTTTTTAGAAAAGTTTGCTTATTCATTTGAAAGGCAGAGTTTCAGAGAAGGAATGGTCTTCCGCCTACTGATCCACTTCTGCAAAAAGCTCCAACAACCAGTTTTGGACCAAACTGAAGCCAGGAACAATTTTTGATTTTTTACTTTTTTTTTTTTTTGAAAGGTAGATTTATGAAAAGAAGGAAAGACAGAAAGATCCTCTATCTGCTGATTGATTCACTCCCTTAAATGGCTACACTGGTCAGAGCTGAGCCAATCCAAAGCCAGCAGCCAGTAGACTCTTCTGGGTCTCCCACATGGGTGCAGGGTCTCAAGGCCTTGGGCCGTCCTCAACTGCTTTCTCAGACCACAAGCAGGGAGCTGGATGGGAAGTGGACTGCCAGGATTAGAACCAGTGCCCATATGGGATCC